ACAAATATCACACTCTGATAAGTGATAAGACTGTAGCTGATCATATAATAACACACTGCAGACAGCAGGTGCAATGTGATAAAGAGTAATCTCAAAGTAACAGACTTACACATGAGTCAGATCACAGAAGAAAAAGGAATTCAGAGTTAAATTTAACTGTTTACATCAGTTCAATTGCAGAGATCACAGAGAATGAACTATCTGAAATATTTATAAACATATGAGATCAAGTCATCTCAACTTCTGAGAACACTCAGAGATTGAGCAAGGTTAGTTTTAATAAGCTATTCACTGTAGTGATCTGAGTGAGTGAAGAGAGACAGTATAATGTGTGAGATAGAATTACAAAAGATGAAAGCTGCTGAACCTAGTCACTGAATACTGTATTATATAGAGGTCATGTAAGAGTAGTGACTAGCAGATAAAGAAAAAGTGTAAGAAAAGAGAAATGAATTGATCATCAATTATAAGCGTCAGCTGCAAAAGACAAATGTTATTATACATATCTCATTCATTTTCATATGTCACATATTTAATCTATTTTCAACACCACATCATCTGAAAAATGTTAAAAATAAAGAAAATCTCAAAACTTGAGATCTGTAAGACATTTAAGAGCTGTAAGCTGCTCTTATAATAACACTGCATATATCTCTGATTTCTCTATTACTCTGTATACAACATTAATGTCATTTATTGCAAGATTGACTGAAATGTCAATATAGAAATGTGTACATGTATGTGTAGAAAAATTAAAGAAGAGTGTAAAACCCGCAGAATCAGAAGTCAGAGCAGAAAGAATGAAGATAGAAGAAATAAAGAGAGAAGATGCAGAACTGAATGAATAATGATAAGAGTCACTCAGAGCTGAACACTTATAACTCAGTGTGCATATAATCTTCTCTGTAGAGAATAGACTGGCCGCTGAGACTATGAATTTCACATTTGATCTCATTTGATCTGGTCTCATACATTTCTTAGCGTGAATCCCGCTGGGACTTGCTATCAAAAAAACATGCAAAGTGACTATATATCAGATTTTAAAATGAGACCATGACTTGAAAAAAATGAGAAAGTGATCTCATTTAGTCTCATTTAGTCTCATTCTTGACATTAAGTTACTATTTTTAGACATTTTAAGGTTTTTTTTAGACTATTTTTAATTTTTTAAAAAGTAATGCTTTTTGATAACACTTAAATGAGATTTAAAGCCATTTAAAGCAATAAAAATAATTTAAATTGAGAAGTGAAAATCATGGTCTCATTTGAAAAATGTGATAAGAGTAGACAGTAAGTCTCACTGAGACAGTATGAGACTACTATCTAATGTTAGAACCGTGCAATGGGATCTGTTGAATTGATAATGAGACTATCAAAAATTCTGATCCTGGTTCCAGACACGGTCACACGGTCAGTCTAGTAGAGAAGAAAGAGAAAGTGATGAGAGAAGCTTAAAAGTAGAAGAGAATAGTCTCAGTGATGTTATTATCTTCAATTAGAATGATCTTTGATACTGAAGTAACTAAGAATCATTGTTAGTGTATGAAAATTGTAAAATCAGAGATGAAAACAGTTACTGAATAAACATTCACTGATCTTAGAGTTATACATATAATTATAACACACATAAGACTTCTCAGAAAGAGAGAGAGAGACATGAGAAAATGCAGAAAGCAGAATACAGTGTGTAAACAGCTCATTCTTATAATGATATCTTAGACAAGATGTACAAGTCTTATATCTGTAAGTGTAAAAGAGTACAATATCTGCATTCTTATTTCTGAAAACATGAATATCTTTCACCTGTATTATGAAGTCAGATAATAGATATCAGAGAATAAGCTGATATAGATCTATTATTCTGAAGAAATTCATCAGAGTGAATATCTCTGTAATATTGAACTTTACAGTTATGAAAAGCTTCTTGATATCTATGAATATTATAACTTTGTACATAGTAAAACTCATAACAAGTTCTTCTAAGAACAGAAAAATCAGTATCAGAAAGAAAAGATGAAAAAGAAAAAGACTTACAATCTCAATACTGTTGAGAGAGAGAGTGATTCTCTGATATGAATGAATAATTATTTCATTATAAATATTTAAAATAAACATAATAATCAGTGTCTGTAACTGAGCATTAGATAGTCATGTTATATGCAGTCTTTATACAATAAATTATTCTGAGAGTTGATAAGAAGAGCAGAAGTGTATGTGCTGAGAAACATAATTCATTAAGTTCACATAACATCTTCTTGAAATGAGAAGAGCTGATAATAAAAGCAGAGATAGTAAAATCAGAGATCACGGGAACAGAAGTAGCAGAAGTGAGAGAATCAGACACAGAGACAGATGTAGAAGATTGAGAGAAAGTAGCAGAGAAAGAAACAGAGAGAGCAGAGAGAGACATGAAAGACTCAGTTATATATAATATAAGTAATTTCTTCATTATTGTGTTCTTCAAGTTCTTAATCAATGATTTAATATTGAGTTCACTATTATCAGTGAATGTGAATCTGTCAATGTGTGAAGATTCTATATAAATAAAAACAAACATCAGCATCTGTATTTATACAAAATTATGTCAGAAAAAATGATCAGAAACTCACTGAGAAGAAAAACAGTCAGAAATATATAAGAAGATGAAGAAGATATGTCATTTATAATAGTACATTCTGATAATTGTTAGAAGATAAACAAGTTCTGATCACATTTCACAACATATTACACTTACTGCTAACAAACTGCTTAATATGAGCACTATAAGAATGCTTATTATAAGAATGAAGAGTCATTATCAGAAATATGTATAATATAATAGATGAATAGATGAAAAGAGTTGAATAGAAGAAGAGATAGAAATCTTGAATGAGATAGTAGCATTCAATGATAACAATAATAAAGAAGATGATTAAAGAATGAGAAAAGTTAGTAAATAAGTGATATAATATAGTGAAAGTTTCTTTATGAGAGTGTATGCAGAATGCTAGCTGAATCAGAAATAGATTACAAGATTATGAATGCTAGTAATGCACTAATTCACATGAAGCTAGAGCAGATGTCATGATTATATAAGCGTGACTGAATTTGATAAGATTGAATATGATTTGAAAGAATGTACAACTGTCAGATAATAACACAGCTGCTTCTGAACTTGCTTATGAGTGTAAAGAGAGGTCATAGCAGTCACTAATTAATTTAGTATATAATATTATAATATATAAGAAGCCGGCGTACGCCTGTAATTGTATGCTGGTAAGCAATCTTTGAATCACAATTATAAAGTTGAAGTTTGATAAAATAATCAAGATAACTTCACTGAACTCTTTCAAAGTCTGTAAAACAGAGCTTTGAGAAGAGTTCTGAGAATATTTAAATTATCTTCTATTAAAGTAATGAAAATTGAAGTCTTAATTTTATCTTCTACTATTCAATTTGAAAAGATCTGTATGAACTATACTCTGAGAGTTATAAAGATAAGCTTAAATTATATAATCAGAGAAAGAGTCTCTTCTTTATTTTCATCAGTTAACTCAGAAAATGAACTGAATTGAAATAGATTTCTTAATTAAAATAAGAATAATGCTTTAAAGAAAATGCTCTCTCAACTATATAAACTATATTCACTTATTAAGAATCAATTTTCTTTATTAAATATTGAGCAAATTAATCATGAAAAGATATCTCTCTGATAAGAAAAGCTGAAATCTCTCATAGACTTATAAATAAGTAAACTATCTAAAGAGAGAGAATATAAACAGTATTTAAAGAAAATCTCTATAATCAATATAAAAGAGTCTATTCTGATTTACTCAGATGACTTAAAAAATGAGAATTTAAATAGATTAGACACAGACATTGCTTATACTGAAGATAATATTAATTTTATCTCAGATTTCTGAAATTTAAACTGTGAATCTGAAGTCTTTGATACTGAACTATTTATAATAGTAAAAGCTTTCAAACTCATTGAAATAAAATCTTGTAAAAGAGAAAATAGTTTAAAAGAGATATAAATATTCTCTAATAGTCAAGCTGCTTTAAAAAGACTTAGAAATAGTCAGATTCATAATAATTAAATAAATCTTAAACTGATTTTAAACTCTGTTTTGAAAATTCAAAAGAGAAGAATATTAAAACTGATAATTTATCTATATTAAGTTTCTACTTATATAAATATTTATGATAATGAATTAGCTGATTCAGCTGTAAAAAAGAGTTCAGAATTAAATAGATCTATTTAAAAAACAGTGTTTTAATCTTTTATAAAGAGAAAGATAAAAGAATCTTATTTAAATAAGTAAAATAAAAGCTGACAGAAATAAAAAAAAGCATATATTATTCAAGATTTGAGATAAAATCAAAGTAAAAATCTTATTTAATTAAATATAAAAAGAAAATATTCTCATCTATAATTCAGCTGAAACTAGAATATAATTATTTTAAATTCTATATATAAAGATTTAATAATAGATTTGATTTAACAGAGTACTTATTCTACAATATAAATAAAAATTCTGAGTATATTATAATATATTATACATTATATAATAGTCTCAGAGTCAGATTAAAAAAGAGATATAATTTAAATTAATTAAATATAAGATTCTTATTCTTAACTGAGATAGAAATTAAATACTTAATAGACTTTCTATCAGAAACTCAAGTAGTTATAAGAAAATGACTGAATTCAGAAGTATCTGAATATGAAGAGATGAAAATTGATTAGATATAGTCTATTAAAATAGCTATATACTATCTTTTAATAATTTTATTTTATTATAATCTCTCTTTACTGTACTTATTTCTTTCTGTTCTTTTCTATCTATCTATTTAATATATTTATCTTTAGAACTATATTCTCTTTTTCTTTATCATGATATTTTCAAATAATTTCAAAGTATTAGAAGATGTTAAAATACTGTAATTTATAAACAGTTTTTGTATTCTAAGCTGGAATTTTCTGATTTTACATATCTGAAATTGATAAGTGTATAATAGTTGACTCTATAGATATAGGAAAAACCCTGAGATCTAAAGGTTCTCAGGTAGATGTCATAGTCTCTGACTGCATACATCTATAATTGAAGAATACTAATAATAATAATCCGCCGCGTAGATAGTAGGAGTATCAGTATCCCCTTCAGGACGTTCCGTCCGGAGAATATCGGATCTTGGAGGGATCCTCCACACCGTAAATGAGCAATCACACGACGTACAAGCTCTGGATCATCTTCCTCCAACACAACATCTGCCGTTGTAGCTTCAAGGCAATGTGGATAAAATTTCTTAAATTGACACAAAACCGACTAGACGCGCGCTTGGCGTCTGTCCGAAGCGGGAGGCAGCCGCGACTCGCGGCCCACCTAAATTGGTATGTAACCAATCCCTCTGGGCTCTTGGATATCTCTCCAGCTTTCCTCCAACACCAAATCATCCCCGGTCGTTTGTCTCTATACATTGCTGTCCCTTCTTGAAGTCAAACGCTCCCTTGATATATCATTTTATCCAGTTACCGTGACGCTCGTTCTCAAATATGGCTTCCGGATACGACAGAGCGCTTTCAGGTAAGTTGCCTGTCCGATAGCTATGTTATTACTTGATCCGGAAGCTATACCTGTGGATAATCGTCTAACGCTCCATCAGTTTTTAGGTATGTTCGCATCTGGGAAGATATGCCCACGCTACTGAACCTATTCTGACATCTTTACAAAGTCCCGATGGCCACGTTTTCCAGGTAGAATATGCTCTCGAAGCTGTTAAGAGAGGTATGCCTTATATCACCATATCGATGCCAGGTCGATTTCTCCATGCATATATATGTACCCATACTGAGGCACTCACGCAAATTACACAGGAACCTGTGCAGTCGGCGTAAAAGGCAAAGATATCGTTGTCCTAGGTTGCGAAAAACGCTCCGCAATGAAACTACAGGATACCCGCATCACACCCTCTAAGCTCTGCATGCTGGACAACCACGTCTGCCTCGCTTTTGCAGGCCTCAATGCCGATGCCAGAATCCTAGTTGACAAGGCCAGACTAGAAGCCCAGTCCCACCGCCTTACCGTCGAAGACCCTGTTACCATCGAATATATTACCAAGTACGTTGCTGGGGTGCAGCAGCGGTATACTCAGAGCGGTGGTGTGCGGCCTTTTGGCATTAGTACGTTGATTGTGGGCTTTGACCATGGCGATAATGTTCCGCGTCTATACCAGACGGAGCCATCAGGGATTTATTCGGCGTGGTATGTTTACGGATATAAAATCCAGGAATTTGAGGTGCTACACATATAGTTGGCTAACCTATAACTGTGAAAACTACAGGAAAGCAAACGCAATCGGCCGCTCGAGCAAGACTGTGCGGGAATTCCTAGAAAGGCATCACAAGGATGATATGGACAGGGAAGCGACGATTCAGCTGACAATCAAGTCGCTGTTGGAGGTCGTGCAGACGGGGGCTAAAAATATCGAAATTGCCATCATGGCGCCCGGGAAGGCTATGGAACTGCTGCCTAGTGATCAGATTGAGGCTTATGTCAAGAGCATAGAGGCTGAGAAGCAGGAGGAGGCTGCTAAGAAGAAAACCGGTCGAACTCCGGGGACAGGGACTGCTGCTATATTAACCCGGGGCGCAGGAGAGGCATCGGAAAGCTGAGCTGGGTGTTTAATGTCTTTTATTTAGCTATTTATTGGCCGTAATGGATGAATTGTGTCCTTTTTTTTCTTTATCAGCCATGGATTTTGCGTCACCTAGGATTTCTATGTTTTTATGCCTACCCAATAACCGTCTAAAAATCCCTAATTTCAATCTCGTGTGGTATAATTGCATTTACAAAATAGAAATAGAAGAAAAGGGAAAAGAAAAGAAAGAAAAAAAAAAAGGCAATAAGAAATTAGGGAAATAATGTATGGTCATATCGTCATGAAACCTCTACGGCACGCCCACGTGCTACACAACATCACATCAGTCTAATCCACCATCCAATATCCCATCTTATCCAAGCCGATTAGGCGCATCCTTAACATTGAAGATTGTCCGCTCCTCCTCTTGCCGCACTCGTTCATCCTTCAGCATTCTAATTAATTGGGAAAATTCCAGCCGTTAGCCATATATAATGTACACTACATATTTATACCAGAAAACCAAGATATGTAAATTGGAAGATAGATGAAACACCTACCTAGAATCAACCCGGGCATCCTCTCCCTCGATCTTCAAGGCTGGTTTGGGCGTGAGGGCCTCAAGGACGAAGTGGTTATCGCAGTGTGGGCAGTATTCGTCACTTATGCCAATCAATAAATAGGAATAAAGTTGATTTTTAGTAATTAGAAAATTTGATAAATATACAAAAAAAATCTGAATGGTGTGGGTGTAGAAGTTGCCATAGAACATACCTCTCCTCGAATTCTCGCGCGTCCTTCCGGAAACACTTTTTGCACTTCTTGCAGGCGAATGTCTAATCCATCCAAATATAACCCAAATAGAGGTGTTAAGAGAAAGATTAGTCCTCCAACTGCTATTGTACCTGTACTTCATGCGGGGAGAAGGGGGGAGCGGAGGGGAGCTCGGGGATTAACAACCATATCAAACGACTGTAGCAGCTCATGATTCTCCTGTTCTTGGTGGCATTCCGCGCAGTCGAACCATCGTCGGCCTAAATGGGACAAATAGCAGGGTAATTAGAAAATTTGGGATATTCCTGTCGGGAGGGAGTGAGGCTCTCGCGCGGGGTGGGGACCGGACGGTCTGTAACTCACAGCATGGCGAGCGGATAGAGACCTGGGCATTCAGGATGTGCTTGCTGGGCGAATGGGTCTGGATAAGTATTGGGTCGTAATTAAAACAGAGACACGAGTATTATAATTATAGGTTTATAAATATATGGATTTGGTGGAGAGTGGATGAGGTAGAACGAGGGGAATGGCACACACATACCACATGGCGATCGAAGAAATGCAACAATTCCAACAACAACGGGGTGTATGTCTCAGGGCAGTTTCTTGTTGTCTGTAGAGGAACTGTTTCTGCATGAAAGAATAATATGGCGCACTGGAGATGTAAAGCGTGGTAGGAATGAATGTCAGTTTCCCAGAGAAAGCGAGAAGCCGCTCCACAATATATTAAGCACCCGCCACGATCTCTAACTAGTTACCTAGGTAAATCATGTAACTACATAACTACTGTACAACATCGTGGACCCGTGCATGACGGTGCTTGGGACAATGGCTTAGTTTACCAGAATACCAGAGCAATAATTCTAATTACTGCTATACGTGTATCTAATAATCCCTTCTCTTCCTTTTCTCTTCCCTCGCTTCTTCGCTCTGGTATTTTTCCTTTACTATCAAAGTCTAGTTTTGCTCTTGTTTCTTTGCCGTCAAAGCCCAGATCACGGGGACAGACAAAGAGCCGCATCCCAAAGACCAACTTCGCCTCCAGCACTTCTTCCACTTCCACTTCCACTTCCACCCACCTCCAGCAGACACGCCCTCCCACTCCTCTTCAGCATCACGAGGATACGCAACGATTCTATTGCGAGAAAATAGCCTCTTGATTCCCCCACCTCAGGTTTAGCCTTTCTACAGGCCGCGTCATTCCTAGCTCCGTTGGCTCGAGTCTAGTTAGTTGTTAGCCGCCTTTTTGGATTTCGCTCGACGGAGTAAAGATCTTGAACTTATGCACTTAGCATTGCCTACGACGTCACTCAAAGACATAACTCCGTTCCTGCGCTCTTGCCTATACCCCTTATCCTCTACCAACCACTCAACCTACAGATGGTTTCCGGTATACGGTGTAGCCTTTTCATTCGCAACTAACGGTTGCTACGCTCTCCGTGATGGAGGCTAAGAATAATGAAGGCCATGATGGGAATGGCACCGACGAGGGCTCTATTGTATGATTGAACATTTGATCGCCACTTTCTGATCTACCCTAATGCTGACTACCATGCCCTGCTATACTTTGATAGAAACCCGTTTCTTCCCTCCTCTCTCACTTCGAAAACCTCGCTCACCTTAAACCCAAGTCGGATCACACCGCCTTACCAAGTCGTGAGTCCCGCTCCAACTTCCTAGAAACTCCAACCGTCGTCGCTGGTCGTGCATCCTTGGACCTACCGCGCCCAGACCATTCAAATTGGTCGTCGTCTTCTTCCAATGCACACTCCCATGCTCACCCCCCCTCGTCGTCCGGGTGGCTTCACACTTCGAGGCATAACCATGGAGGTGCTACTACTCGGAACACAGATGGGACTCCAGGAAGGCGGATATCGGCTAGGCCAGTGTCCATGAATGTGTCTTCAGCGCAGTGGAAAGCGCCAGTCCTCACTATAGATTCCCCACGGTCTAGTCCCAAGAGACATGTCATCCCTGCCACCGAGAATCGCCTCGGGGAAGCCCAGACCGTTCCCGAACCTCCGCCGCCCCGAAGACCGCCCAGCAGCCAGAGTCGTCCGATGAGTAGACCGACTACCCCTTTAGTCGATTCTTCAAGTGTAGTAACGACTGGTGGTAGTCCCCGTCGGGCGGATAACAGAGTTCGTGATTCAAAGAAGTTCCCCAAAGCCGCGTCTCTGCCACCACCAGTCAACAGAGCGGAAAAGCCTAAAATCCCTGCCACTACCAAAAGTCCCATCCCTATTTCTCGTTTGGAGACCCCGAAGTCTCTTGCGCCAACATCGGAAAAGGTCACAGTCAATGTTGCAGTGTCACCTTTCAGTACCCCTCCGAGTAGTCCTGAAAAAAAAAACCCTAATATCGTAGCAACAAACGGACATGCCTCGGTTCGCGTTCCCGAACCTTACTCCGCTGTTGAGCGCGGATCTCGTGCCACTTTCCCCGAACCTGCTCCGTTTCGACATCCCCGCCGATCCGCGACTTTTGAGGCCAAGCACCCTGGTCTATCCGGCGCGAGAAACGCAACGACAGTATTAAGTCGCGAAATCAAACAGTCCCCTCCGCCCGTTCCAATGAAACGGAGTGACACTGACGCTGCAAAACGAAGGAACGCGAAGGAAGCCCAAGACAGGCAATATACCAGTGATAATCCAGAGGATCGACCAGGTCTGCCACCCCGCACTCAACCGCGAATATCGCGCCGGGGCGCTCCCCCACGGACTGGAGTACAATCAACTACCACCCACTTATCGTCTAGACGCTCGTTTGATGTGCCTTCCAGACCAATTATCACATCCAACTCTTCCTTCCGTGTTGGAAACGCAGAAACTGGTACATATTACCCTCCACCACCCCAAAGAGATAATGCTGTCGTTGCTGGCCGAATACCTAGTTGCAGCAAGGTCCAGCCACAGCATGCCCCGACACAATTTGCACGGTCACCAATGCGCTCAGTAGAATCCCTTTCGTCGTCCCCAGCCTCCAACCAACGCCAGATCAGTAGATCTACCCTCGTGGAGTCAGATGAATCGGAGTATCCATTCGACGATGCGCCAATTCCTCGCACAGACTATCCTGACTTTTCTAACACCAACCGTCGCCCACCGATTTTCAAAAGCGGAACAAGAGGTATTCACACCAAGCATGACACTCGAGTCTTTGACGTTTGCGGGAATTATGCGTGCACGACGGGTTACTTTACTCGCGTCTGGGACTTAGTAAGCGGAGAGCAAATTCTAGGATTGAACCACGGGGAAACTGTTAAAGGTTTATGTATTGCATTTAAACCAGGAAATACAATGAACGATGAGGGGAAACTACTTTGGCTTGGCACGAATTCAGGAGAGATCCATGAGGTTGATATTCAAACGCAGTCAATTGTTTCGTCGAGGACGTCACCTTCCCGAAGAGAAATTATCAAGATCTATCGGCATAAAAAGGAACTTTGGACACTTGATGATGATGGCAAACTACTGGTCTGGCCTCCGGATGAATCCGGTGCGCCTAATCTACAATATAGCTATAGCCATCCATACGATCGGGTTGCAAGGGGTCATACTTTCTCGATAGTTGTTGGAGGGATGTTGTGGCTCGCATCCGGTAAGGAAGTGTGGGTTTATCGGCCCAATTCGAAAGATGCAGATTTTCACGTCCTCAAGGGGCCCCTAGGAAAATCAGATGCAGGCGAAATCACGTCCGGTACCACCAGTCCCAAAGACGGCGGCCTCGTATACCTCGGCCATGCAGATGGGAAAGTTTCCATTTACTCCTCCCAGGATTACTCGTGTCGAGCAACACTGAACGTGAGCTTGTATAAAATACACTGCCTAGCGATGGTTGGTGATTATCTTTGGGCGGCTTATAAAACGGGCATGATCTATGTCTACGACACTTCTACCACACCCTGGACGGTGAAGAAGGACTGGCAGGCGCACGATCATGCTGTCTGCGGGCTGTTGCTGGATTCTAGTAGTGTTTGGACTGTGAATAGGCTACAAGTTGTTTCTCTTGGGGTGGATAATTATATTCGCATTTGGGATGCTATGCTTGAGGATGACTGGCTTGGTTCGTACCCTTTTTTTTTCTATCCATTTTGTCTAATATGCTAGGAGCGACGTGCTTACTTTACTCTTTAGAGGACCGCATGCATGACAGGGACGTCGAATATTGCCAGTTCCGTGAAATTACCGCGTCCGTTCTTACGTGGAACGCAGGCGCAACGGTCCCGGGAAATTTACGAGATAGCACATTCATCAAAGAGGTGGTCCACCCTGAAAACCCACCTGATATCTTGGTTTTTGGATTTCAAGAGCTTGTGGACCTGGAAAACAAAAAGATCACTGCCAGTGAGTTACAGCATACCCTAGCAACAAATCTTAAGTACGATTCTTTTTCACCTAACAACCTACCACAGAGAGTCTCCTCATGGGCAGCAAGAAGAAAGATAGCGCAGACAAAGAACATATGAGCCGACAGTATCGCGTCTGGAAAGATTATCTTGCTTCCTGCATTCATGATATAATGCCACTTGATCAGCCTTATGTCCTCCTCCACACTTCAAACCTCATCGGCCTATTCACATGCGTGTTCATTAAACAAGAAGAACGCCAAAGAATCAGAGGTATAAGTGCAGCAGAAGTCAAGCGCGGCATGGGTGGGCTGCATGGCAACAAGGTTCGTCTAGTCCCTATACTGTATGTTCCCCTTCTCTTGCCAAACGCCAAGCTAAATTCAATCGGACCATTAGGGTGCTCTCGTCCTCCGCTTCATCCTCGACGACAGCTCTCTCTGCTTCATAAATTGCCATCTGGCAGCTGGCCAATCCCAGACCGCCAACCGCAACAACGACATTGCCGCAATTCTCGAAAGCAGTTCCCTTCCCTCCGAATCAAGCTACTCGTCCCGCATTGATCTCTTCGTCGGTGGCGGTGACGGCACCATGATCCTGGATCACGAAATCTGTATTCTAAACGGTGATCTGAACTACCGCATCGACTCGATGCCCCGCAATACCGTCATCGAAGCCGTCAAGGCTCGCAACCTCCCCAAACTCCTCGACCGCGACCAACTCCTCGCCTCCCGCCGCAAAAACCCCAGTTTCCGCCTCCGTTCATTCAATGAGGCGCCCATCACATTCTCACCGACCTATAAATACGACGTCGGCTCAGACCAGTATGATTCTAGCGAGAAGAAACGGTCTCCCGCATGGTGCGATCGCCTCCTCTATCGGGGTGTTGGGAGGGTCAAGCAGCTCGAGTACCGCCGTCATGAGGTTAAGGTGTCGGATCATCGCCCAGTTAGCGGGCTGTTTAAGATGCGCATCAAGACTATCTCCACAGATAAGCGGACGGCTGTGTGGGAGGAGTGTCAGGAGGAGTTTTTACAGGTGAAGCGGAGGTTGGCGACGGATGCTAGGTGCGTACTTGTCTCTTCCCTGAGTGGAGTAGATCTGCCCGGCAGAATATGAGAAACAAGGGTACTAACAATGATTGCAGCATCGACTATCTCGTTCGCATTCTTGGCCTAGATCCCAAGGAGGCCAGGTCGTTGATCTCTACTGCGCCTGGGACTAGATAAATGTGTGGTTCCCTAAGCCCCCTCTGCAACTCACCATTCTCCAACTACGCCACCTCCAACTTAACGCTCTTTTAAACCATCCTATATTATTCCAACATCGACCAAGAACACTATAATCTAAGCGCCTTATTTGCTTGCCTTTGTTCTTTTCCTTCTGTACTCTTTTCATACTCCAGGTACTTTTATTATCTCACATTTTGCATTAATATATTGGACAGAGCATAGAGATCGAGAGAGCGAGAACGACCACTCTCGGTCCGAACGGGAAATTCTCCCTGCCACAACACATTGCATATTAGATATTCCTCCTTTTGATTTTTTTTTTAACTGTACCCTTGCCTTTTCCACTTGCTCCTGCAAACTCTTTCCCCACCCCACCAGCAGGTTTAACGACGCCGGATGATTTTATGACCACGTTGCTTTTGCTCTTTCCCTTTTTTTGTTTTTTTTCTGTTTTATTTCTTGGTTATTGATAATAAAGAGATAGATGGTTTGCTAGTTTGCTTCTGCGTCAGTGTACATACCCATTCTTCCACCAACACTTCTTCTTGCCTTTTTTAATTTTTCCTTTTTCTTTTTCTTCAGGGCAATGTATACACACACCTAATTACCTGCATCGTTTCTTATAACTATTTTACCGTATTATAGATCGAGATATTACTCTTGTCCAACACGCACCAAAGCCTGCATGGTTGTATACATTCCTTAATGGAGTCTCATTGAAGTTTTCAATTGAAACGTGTTCTCTTTTTTTATTTTTCAGGTGCCGGAGAGGCGTTGTCCAGTGCAGAGCATCCCTATGTAGTAATTAATTCGGTGCAATTTTAATCTTTCAACTGAGAATAGGGATCGTGAACCCTGCTCGAAACAACATCGCGGTAGCATATCTAGCGGCGACGAAAGCCAATTAATTAGATACCTTAGGCTCTAACATCACGCATAACAGAGTAGTTAACTATATGATTGTCATCTATTCCTACTTAACATGACCTTCACGTCTGAACCAATAACAGGAATAAACTTCTCCCATTATTGGCGACATAGAACACAGTATACTACTAATCCGCCGACCAAGCTAAAACCCGTCGAAATCAGCCGGCAGAAATGCACGGCATCCCGCTGTGGTAAATAAGAAGAAAATCAGAAACGTAGATTCGGAGGCGGGTTCGCTTGGTGAAAACTGCCCGAACAACGTAACCCCTCGGCATTCCTTTGGCGTGTAACTAAACAGATTTGGGGAACTTGAACTGGATATTTATTTACTATAACTTACATATTCTATTATTATATTTTCCAGTTTTTAGGTCGTTGTGTTTCTGAATTTATCTTATCAGCCAAATTCTGCGCTGGCCACTTCATTAATTAAGTGTAGATGAACAAACTTGATCCGTACAATCATTCTGCCGACAAGCTTCTGATGCCAATGCACATCGTCCTCATCGGGCCAGGGAAAATTGGGCTCTCTCCTTTGCTGCATTATATCTTACATAGTCCCCCAATGTCGAAGTGGCCATGTACGATACCAGGCCAGATCTGAAGGCGAATATTGAGGTGACTCTACCGGGTCCGCCCCGCTCTCTAGACACCTATCAAAATACAATTATAACTGTATGTAACACCCCAAAACAGGTTACCTAGCCACGCTCTCCGCAACCCACACGCTCCCGGACCTCCTCTCCTCCCACCGCCTCACCCTCAGCCCAGACCTGCCGACCGCCGTCTCGACCGTGGACATAGTCCAAGAACGAGGCCGCGAAACCCCCGCGTTCAAACAATCCCTCTGGCCGCAGATCGAAACTTATGCCCCCGCGCACGCCCTCTTCTGGTCCAGTACCTCCGGCATCCCTGCCTCCACCCAGTAACTCCACATGCGCGATAAATCCCGCCTTATCGTCGTTCACCCCCTATAATCCCCCGCACATCATGCCGCTGCTAGAACTTGTCCCGTCACTAGCTACGCCGCACGCCTTGATCGAGCGCACGCGTGCGGGAGACGATAGGGTTTGTGGCGAACAGCTTGCGTATGCGCTGCTGCGGGAGGCTGCGCATCTGGTGTGGTTGGGGTGGACGAGCTGGATGCCATTGTTGAGAACTCGATGGGTCCGCGGTGGACGGTTGCAGTGCCGTTTAAGTCGTATCATATGGGGCGGTGGAGAAGGGCGGTTGAGGGCCTTCTTTGAGAAGATTGGGGTCACAGCGCAGGCTTGTTGGGAGGATCAGGAAGGAGTGGGCTTTGGGAAGGGGGAGGGCTGGGAGGAACGAGTGTTTCGTGAGACGGAGGAGGTTTATGGACCGTCTGTCGGGTTGAGTGTGCGGGAGAGGGATGAGAAGACAAGAGCAGTACTGAATGCGAGGGGGGAGGAGGGGTCGGTGCCGAAGAAGGACAGGTGAAAGTGTGAGGGAAGTAAGGTCGGAGGGATGGACACATTGCCTATGACATTAATGGTCCCATTCGAAGAGAAATTGGATACAATAACAATCATTGGCATCCGGAAACAAATGCACCCACCCTCCAGCAGGGCGTTTCAACGCAACCAGACGAACCAGCGTCCCAAGACTTCTGAAAACTTGCATTTAATCCGTATCATCCCGTTCACATTTCAGTGGGACTGAACCCAATTCTATCAGCTTTAAGGCACCCGAGCAAAATATATCTCAATCAATATTGACCTCAGCACCCGAGCTATCCTCCACCAACAAAAATATCATCTCGTCAGCAAAAAGAAATCATATCGTTAGGGTCTTGCCGCGACTCGAACGCGGGGCCTCTCGCAAACATTGCCATTAGGGTGCACCCTAAGCGAGAATCATACCACTAGACCACAAGACCTGGAATTGATGGAAGTCGCCTAGCCCGAACCACTCATCAGTGAGGTGGACAGGCAAATGTGTAAAAATATTGGTGTGGGTTGATGGTGGAGCGAGTAGATGAGGCGGGAAAGAGGCGGGAAAGAGGCGAAACAGAGGCGAAACAGAGGCGAAACAAAAAGGAATAAATGAATGGGTCCTGCCGCGATTCGAACGCGGGGCCTCTCGCAAGCGAACTCAGGTTTGAAGAGCCCAAAGCGAGAATCATACCACTAGACCACAGGACCTACCTTTCAATACGTGACCGCGGTTGTCAGTGCGCTTTCATCTAGCCTACAGAGTTTTTATCATTTTCACACTTTATATCTGCACTATATCTGCATACAGCAGAAAAAAAATAATAATTTCAAGTTTAAACTTTAAATATTATTTTCTGCTGTTTTATAATTTAAAAATGTTTAAATCAGTAAAAAATTATTAATATATATATAATTCAAAAATTGCTTAAGTTAGTGTATAATTATAAATATATACTAACTTCTTATATATATTATACTAAATTAATTAATAACTGCTATAATCTTTTTACATTTATAAATATATTTAGAAGTAACTATATTATTATTCAGTAATTATATATTCTTTCAAATTATATTCTCTCTTATTAGATTCAGTCACACTTATATAACTATAATATAAGTTACTCTCAGAGAAGCTTTTACTATTTTATACTACTTATTTACTAATATTTTCATTCTTTAATTATTATCTCTGTTATTATCATTATTAAATATTATTATTTTATATAAGATTTCTACACTCTCTCTTTAACAAGCTCTGTGATAAGCTATGCTTAATTATTTATATAGATTATTTTATTATATTTTATAGTTTTCATTTCTGCTGAAAGCTCTAATTCTCAGTTATTAATTCTTAACTGATAAACTTATAGAATTTCTATTCTTCTGCTTTAAAACTTTACTATGTATATATTTAAATATTCACTTTAATCACTGATTCTCATACTTTCTCATTCTTTTTCTTCTTTAATGTTTTTCACTTTGTTATATAAAATCTATATATATATATTAATTTATTCAGTGTAGACCTGCAGTATATATTATCTGTAGTCTATACTAATTATATATTATACATGTAAATAGATAAATCTTGTCTCATTCTTTTAAGATGAAGATGAGCCGGCGCCTCTATATATATATATATATACATGCTTATTTGTTTATTGTGGTTGACTTTACAGAAGAAAGAAGTGAAAGTCTTAAAAAGAAAGAAGTAGAAGTCTCAGAATGAAAGAGATAAAAGTCTCAGAATGAAAGAAGCAGAAGTCTTAGAAAGAAAGAGACAGAAGTCTTAGAAAGAGACAGAAGCTCTAAGAAGTAATAAGTGAATATACTTTCAGATAGAGAAATAAGAATAGAGTGAAAGAAGAAAGAAGTGAAAGTTCTGATAAGTAGTAAGAATAAACATCACAGTCTCTTCAAAAATACACTCAGTTGATGTGAAGAAAGATGCTTTCTCAAATACTATTCCTGAGATTAAAATTCTGAAGAGAAGAAAGAAAGAAGAAATAGAGAAATAACAAGTTCTTGAAGTACAGAAACTTGAAAAAGTAAGTAAGATTCTTAAAAAGCAGTGTGTCAGTGCCTGAGTGAGATGAATGAAGAAGTTCTGTTAATTCTTCATACTTAGACTAGACAACTACAAGAAGTGATTAAGTTCAAACTTGGAATTTCAAACACAGTTCTAAAAACATTGAAAATTTCTAATACAATCACTGACTCTTCAGTTTACTCTTCTTATGTTTTCACTTCTTCTTCTTCTTCTTCTTTAAATCAGAAGAAATCATATGCTTAAGCAGCTGAATCTGCTATCTCTAAACCTGCTATCTCTAAATCTGCTGTCTCAAAACCTGCTCAAAATTCTGAGAAAACTGAGAAGAATACTACTCATACTTCTATTGATAAAAGAGTGAAGAAAAAATTGTAAGAAGAGAAAAATCTTCAAATCTTCAGAAATAGAAGATTTATTCTTAAAGTCTCAAATCAGAACATCTTACAGAGAAATAAGCTAAACTTAAATCTTATTTTCAGAATTAGAAATGAAATCAATCAGCAGTTCTTTTCTCAGTTAATAACTGATATTAAAGTTCAAAAATCAGTTATAGCTTCAATTGAGTTATTCTTCTTTGAAAACTTCATCATTCTGATCACAATGTCTGAATTCAGTGCAGAATTTCTTATTCAGAATAAGAATCTCTGAAAATCAGCAGTAGAATCTCTGTTAAACATAATAATTCTATCTGAGAGAGATAAAAAGTAAGATAAATTCATTCTTTATGATATTTCAGTTAAAATCTTTGACTGTGAGAAAGAAGTACTACTTCTTAAAAATAAATTAGAAGAATATAATTCTATTCAACTGAGAAAAGAGTCTGTATAACTTAATTCAATTAAGTTCAGACAGAGTAGAAGAAATGCCTCTATTCTAGTATATATAAAGATACTTAAACAATCAAGAATCTCTGAAGTAAGAGTAGCAGATTTGAAAATAAGAGTTCATAAATACAAAGACTCAAGAATGAATCTCAAAGCTCAAACACAGTATTTAAACTGTTAAAGATATGAATACTTTGTAATCTCTTATTTCAGAGACTCAAAATGCACATTCTGTGCTAGAGATTATAAAACTAGTGAGTATAAATATGAAACATGCTTAAAAAGAGATGAAATATGTTAATATACTCTGCTTAAGTGCTTCAATTGTAAAGAAAAACATGTATCTAACTTAAAAGAATGTGTATTTACTTCAAGAACTCAGAAGAACTGAAGAAAAGATGAAGCTTAAAGTAAATCTAAAACTGAAGAGAAAAGTCAAGCTAGTAAATCTATAAGTATAAGCTTAAAAAGAAGAAACTCTCAACTATCTAGATCTTCAAACTTCAACTCTTCAGTTAAATATGAATAGAATTTGAATTCTCAAACTTCTGTTGAGATTAGAGAATTGAGAAATGACTTTAATGATAAACTAGATATAATACAAGCAGTTGAGATTTCTACTTTTTAAAATAGTTATAATCTACTATGTGATAATAGTGATTAGATTCTACTTGATCTCTACTCTCTGTTAGTATGAATATATAATAAAAACAATAAAAAAAGTTTAAAAACTCTTCAAAAATTACATTTATTCAAAATAATGTAAATAGAAACTCAAATTGTATCTATTCTTATCTTCAAATTATATTTGAATAAAAAGTTAATTTTATACTGCTTCAGAAATCAAACTTTAATACTGAGTAAAAATATATTATTTCTGATTCAAGCTACTACTACATTCTATCTCAAAAGTCTGAGATAAAGTCAAGAGTAGTAATCTATGAAAGAAAGAGATCAAGATATCAACTTAATCTAAGATTTAATATCATATCTGACTCTGATATTCTGATGAGTGATATTATAGATAAAGAGAATTAGTTTGATTCTATACAGCTTATAAATATCTATAATAAAAAGTTATTGAAGAAAAATAACAATATCTGAACAATTAATAGAAAATTTCTGAATATAACTTTATTAAGAAACTCTATAATTGTAGAAGATTTCAATGCATATTATCTCTGATAGAATTCAGAATATAAAAGAGCAGTAAGAGCAGATAATCTGATTAAATAAATCTTTGAGTATTTAATAAATTTAGTTAACAAGTTTGATCAATAAATATTCTTTAGAAAAGATATGAAACAGAAATCTATTATAGATCTAATCTTCATGTTATAAAATCTAATGAAAAAAACACTTGAAAACTGATTTATTAATTCAAATGAGACATCAGAATCAGATTATGAGATTATTCAATTTAATATTAAACTGAGTGTAAAATAAATAAGTGAAAACTCTCTTCTCTTTAATCAGTTTAACTTTGAAAAAGCTGATTGAAAAGTAGTTATAGAAAGTATAAAACTGTTAAAATCTGAAAAGCAGAGTAAGCTATATTGAAATCCTGATCAAGATATCTCAGATAAAATGCTCAAGAATAGAGTGAAGCTCATTATATCTATTATTCTAACAAGTATTAGAGATAATATTTTAAAGAGAAAGTCTTCTAAGTATTTCAAATCTTGATAAAATGAGAATATCATATCTAAAAGAAAACAACTAGCTATTGTTAGAAGAGATTGACAGAATGATATAATATCTGATAAAGAGTTCAAAGCTGTCAGAAATGAATATTTTTCAGATATTAAAAGAGCTAAAACAAACTGCTGAAATAAATTTCTTGAAGAAGTATAAGAAAAGAAAGTTTTTAAAGCTTTTAACTATACTAAAATAAGAAGTGTAGTAAAACTTCCAGCTCTAGAATATGAGTTTCAGAATGAATTATATACAGTAAATTCTTTTGAGAAAAAGTGTTAAGCTTTTATGAGAATTCTCTTTCAAAACTCATCAGATTAAGATTCAGAGAAAGAGAATATATCACTTTATAACTATATTAATAAAAATGACTGAGAATGACCTAAGCTTATATAAGATGAATTAAAGTTAGCTATCTTCTCAAGTTCAGTTAAAACTGCTGCAGGGCCTGATTCAATTAATCACTTGATTATTCAAAATACATACTTCTACTTAAAGAATGAATATTTTAAGCTCTTTTTCAATCTCTTGAAAAATGAATATCATTCTGAATACTGAAGAGAAGTCACTGAAGTGATTCTTATAAAATTTAATAGAAAAACTTCAATTTCTAAGTTATGTAGAGTAGTATCTCTATTGAACTGTCTAGAAAAGATTTTAAAAAAGATAGTAGCTACTTAACTATCTTTTATAAACTCTATTAGTAATTGTCTTTTATTCAGTGAATAAATGAGAGATAGAAAACAATGTTCTGTAATTAACACTGTTCTCTCAGTTATTTATAATATTTAAATAGTAAAGTATGAAGATCTAGTCTCAACTGCAGTTTTTATTGATATAAAAGAAGTATTTAATCATGTTTCAAAGTCAAAGTTAATTCAGACTTTGAAGATGTTAAAACTGTTACTTTCTCTAATAAAATGAATTAACTGTTTTATATCTAAAAGAATCATATAACTTTTCTTTGATAGAATGAAATAAGACAAGACTGAGATAAAAATAGAAGTACTGTAAGAATCTTCAATCTCACTTATTTTATTTACAATATACACTGTATATCTATTCAAAAATAGAAATATAAGAATAGTATGATCTCTGAGTTATATGAATAATATTGATCTAGTCTACAGCTCAAA